TTTATTTATTTATTTATTTATTTTTCCTCTGGAGCTTTCTCCACTTCTTTCATTTGGGGTATATTTCTTTGTCTCTCCATTTTGACTGCCTTTTTGTTTCTATGTACTAGGTAGATCTGATCTGACTCCTAGCCTTTGTGTGGTAGCCTTATGTGGTGTCATTTGAGGTCCAGTGGTGCAGTCTCCTTGATCTCCTGAGCTGGGTGCTCCAGGAATGTGCCTTGTGTGGATTATTTGGGCCCTCCTATTGTGATTGAGTCTCATTGCTATTGACCCATTCATGTGTCAAATTGACCTTCATGCTGACTGTGGCTCTCAACCCCAATCACAGCATCCATGCTGCGGTGTAGGTGCTGACCACACAAAGTGGAATTCAGCTCAGCAGTTTTTGGTGTTTGTCAAGCTCTCCAATTGGATATACTGCTTGTGAAGCTTATTGGATACTGTTCTGATATTGTCTGAAGCTGGCCACTGGTGTGTTGATTCTGGCCCTTTGGGGGAACTCTGGTACCTGCCAGAGTCAGATGCTGTCTGTGACAGGCCCCCAGCAACTTGTTTGGAGCTACAAGTTTTCCAGTTTGTGGTGGCCTCTGATGGGCCTGGGTGCTCCCAGAAAGGACCAAGCTGTGCACCAAGACTGTTTTTTTACTAGCACTGGACCCAAGGTCAGGTCAGCAAAAATCCCAAGGTCCCCCAATACCTGCCTTTGCCTGTCAGCTGTCTGTTAGCCTCAGTCACTGAAAGAGCCTCTGATGGTACTTGAGTTGCCTGAGGTATTTCACAGTGAGTTGCCAGGTAGGGGTGAGTAGTGTTCACCAGACTGAAAGAGATTCAAATTCAGTTTCAGTTCTGGACTAAGGCCACTCAGCAAATGTCCCAGGTATACCAAGTCTAGCTGCCACCTGCTGGATGCTCTCACACCTTTGTGTTGGGGTGGGGTCTCAGGGAGTTATCAGAGTGAGGCTGGCAGTTTTCAGGCCCCCAAAGACCAAGATTTGGTGATGTGAAGGCAGGGCTCTGCTCTGGTTGGGCTTGCAAGGGAATAATGGTCCCTGTCCTAGAGCCGCTCTACTCAGTCTGTCTCAGATTCTGCCGAGAGGAGCCCAACCTCAGCAGTGTGGGGCCTCCAGGAGTTGGGAGGATGAGGCTAGTGAATCTCCCATGAAGGGGAGGTGCTGGTCAGACTTCAGAGAAAGTGGGGGTTGTGTTCCTCACCAGAGATCCACACAACTCAGTCTGTCCCAGATTTTGCCCAGCCATCAGCAGGGTGGAGCCACCAGAAGTTGGGTAAATGGGTCTGCTAGGAGCCCAGAGGGTGGGTCTATCAGATCACCCATGAGGGAGATATGCTAGTCAGGTTCACAGGAAAGTGGAGGAAATGGCTCCTGTCCCAATACCACACAACTCAGCCACTGATACCCCTTGAGTTTGCCCAAACCTCTACACCCCATCCAAGGCAGCTGACTCCTCAGTAGAGCATAAGATCTGTAGGGTGGGGTGAGAGTAAGTCCAGAGGGTGGGGCTATTGCTTTCCCCCAGGCTGATGGCCTTTGTAGGGGAGTGCTTCACCCAAGAAAGATGGCATCTGTGGTAAGGGAGAGGGACTCAGCACAAGGGTCCTGGCAGCTGTCTCTTCAGCTCTCTCCCCAGAGCCACAAACCCCAGTCTCTGCCCACACAACTCTAGTCCATTCTGCCCTTTCTCTGCTGGAGCCCAGGATGAGTGAAAAAATGTTGTGTGTTGGCCCTTTAAGAGATTGCCTGTGTCTTTAGTGGACTCTTGTCTCTCCCTGGTGGACAGAAACCCTGCTGATTTTTACAGCCAAATGTTATGTGGGTGCTTCTTTCTGGCTCTGGTGCTCTGGGCTGGGGTGCCCACCCTGGGTTTGAGACCCCACACCTCTCAGGGGAACCCTCCCCACAGCTGAGATATCCCTCCAGAACTTCAGCTGCCCATGGGAGCAGGGCCAGCCCTTTTCTCATCTCTACCCTTTCTACAAGTCTAGATGTGGCTTTCTTTGTAAATCCCTGGTTATAAGAATTCTCTCCAGAACCTCACCAGGTAACTCAGTTGGTTAAAGGGTTGTCCTGATATGCTAAGGTTGCGGGTTCGATCCCTGTTAATGGCAAATACAAGAATCAACCAATGAATGCGTAAGCGTAAATAAGTGGAACAACAAATTGATGTTTATCTTTCTTTCTCCCCCTTCCTCTCTCTCCCTTTCAAACACACACACACACACACACACACACACACACACACACACACAATTTCTTTTCAGCTAGTCTATAGTTGGTTATTCAGGATGATTCCTGGGAAGAGGTGAGTGTTCCTTCCACCTACTTCACCACTATCATGGATCCCCCTTTTTAATTCCTCCTCTCCCTGCTCCCTACTTTCTGATTCTAAATAAATAGCCTCACCTGACAGGCTATACTTAGGTAATCATAGCACAATGCAATTATTGGTTGTTTACCAGATACTTGCCAGTATTTTAGCTGTGTTTGACCTTTAAAAGCAAGTGACTATGGAGACTTCTTTGTTGTTGTTGCCTTTCTCCTAGGCAGATGGTATTTATGCCTTTAAAACTTTTTTTTTTGTCTTTCAGGGCATTTCACTGATGATATTTATCTCAATACAACTACAAATCTGCCACTAAGAGATTGTCTGAATACAAAACATTATTAGGAAAATGATTATGACAAGAAAACAATAACAAAGAACCACTTTAGAAAAAGCCACATCATTAGCTAGTCCAAGAAGAAATTATATTCTTCCCTCAGAAATAATTCATCAAAGTCTGTCACCATGAATGAAATTAGATATCTCTTTTAGCTTTAGTATTGGCTATTCCTGGAAAAACAGCACACAGAATTGTTTGGTATAAAAAAAATTTTTTTTTCTCCCAGAAAGAAGAGTTTGTGTTTTTTTCTAGTGGCGATATGGGACTGAGAAATCAGATATGCTTCTGCTCACACAACTGCAGTTTCCCCTCCCCTAACACACAGAGACCATCACCATCGACACAAAGTATTAAATATTTTTTATATTATTTGGTTAAAATATAGTCATTGTCTCATTTCTCTCTTTGAGAGTACAGATCTCAGTCAGACTTCAAAGTATATGTTGAAGCAAAAAATAGTAAAAAAAGCCATGCATGGAGTTTTCTCATTTATTTCTTCACCACTTCTTCCTTTCTGTCTATTTTATTTGCATAACATTTAGTCTCAGCACACTGTTATATGCGTATTCATTCTGAAGGCACATGATAAAGCTTTTAGTATATCTTGCCAAGGGTTATCTTCTCGAAGAGTTTGGTTGACAATGTGATCATATGGTTCCCTACAGAAGAGTACACAAAGCCCTGTACCCAGCGGGCTTTCTCTGAAGCAGGCACTGAGGCCACCTTTAGACCTGCCATAGGTGAGGACCAGCTGACTGGACCTCGACCTCCAGCTCCGGCCTCTCTCTACCCTGCATTCCAGACAGACTGTATTCTCCACAAACTTGCAAATCTGATATCCCTTCAAATTGGTTCTTTTCATATTTTCTAGATTTTTTTAGAGGCAATGGTGTGCAAGGAGCATAGTGGAAATGAGGCTAAAGTGGGCTTGAATCCAAACTCTACATTTACTATTTGATTTGGGGCACATGGTTTTTCCTTCCTGAGGCTTGGGTTTCTCCTTGGTAAAATGTCAACAGAGATTCCTAGAGTGTAGGATTGCAGACATCTGAAGAGGTCACACTTCTAAGTGCATAGACTGATGAATGGGATAACACGGGTGCTAAATAACCATGCATTCTCTCTTCCCCCTCTCTGTCCAGTGAGTGTCACTGTCTACAGTACCAGGTTGGACATGTTGTATCAGTTTTCCTCGTTCCCTCTCCCTTACCCTTAATTAAAGCCAATCACCAATTTATGGGATATTAGAACTGGCAAGGACCTTAGAAATCATAGTCATCCGAGTTATTGATCAAATATGGAGACATAAATCACTGATTTTTCTAGCAATTTGACTCTTGTGTCACCTCAATAACAGTAATTATTCAGTGGTGAAGTTTGTGCTTGACAATTGACAATCATATTGAGCAAAAAAGAATCAACCAACTATAATTAGTTCAGTGATGATGTGCAAACACAGCTTCAGGCTTACCAGTAAAATTCTATTATCTTAAATGCTCTTTATAATGCAAAATTTTTTTTCTGGTATAATTTTCTCTGTCCCTCTCTCTTTGCCAATCACTAACATGGGGAGAGGAATCCGTTTCAGCAGAAATTGGAGAAGAAAAAAATCATAGAAGCAAAACAAAGAATAAAATAATTCCAAAGAAAACAATATCAATAAAAGCCCTAAATATTAGCTAGTGAATACATTACAATGTTACACATAGCCATGAACTACGAACTACTTTCACCTCATATTATATATGCCAGAGCATGTGTTCATTCGTGTTCTTCTAAGGGATTTATAGTAGAAAACCCTAAAGGAATCACTCTACTAAGCAAAATAAGAATTAGATATATACATGTAGCTGTTCTTATAACACAACTATTCTTCCTTTTATATTCCATGCTTGAATACTCATGCACAACCTAACCTATTTGATACCTTGACCTTGTTCTCCCTTCTATGTTTCATGTACAAGAATAAAATAAATTACCTATAGTTAATGTATTTTATATGTGTTAGGGTGTAAAAATTACTTTTTATAAATGTTTATTTTTCTTTAATCTCCATACACACTGAATGTACATATAATCCAGATATACATATAATCCTGATAATAAAACTGGAACCAGATAAGAAAAAAGACAGGCTCTAGTTCTAGTGAGATCCTTTTCTTGAAATTTAATATCTGTAAGGGCAACATGGAAAGTTTCAGAAAGAGCTAACCTTCAAACTTTAACAATTGTTCCCCATTTCAGTGCACTTACCACATTCTATGGGGTATGCAAGTGGGAAAATGGCCAACCACCCTCTAGGATTCCATTAGGTTACCTTTGAAATGCGAAGACATGTTGTTCAAAAACGAGGACAGTGGCTACCAGGACTCCAAAGCTATAAAACTTCATCCCAACAGTTCTTTGCAGAAAAACAAATTTCTCTGAAGAAAAGGGCCCTGATAACAGGTTACATAAGAGCCTTCTTTACACACTGGTTAAAATATAATGCTGTTTTCCTCCCATTTCTGTAATCAATCAACTTGCATTTCCACTCTCAAAAAGGAAGTATGATGAGAGCTGTTGTTCTTAGTTGAGACCATCTAGAAAATATTTAACTTTTCAGGGAAGATGAAGCCAAGAATAAACGGGTAGTAATGTAGCAGGAACATAGGAACATGTTGGACTTATTGGAGAGCCACAGCCAGCTAGCCTGCGAGTCAACTCTACCCACTAATGTGCCAACAGCAATCAAGGCTCAATTACTACAGGAAGGCACACACAACCCACACAAGGGACCCAGCTCAGATGATCAGGGAGACTGTGCCAATGAGACACACAGGTCGCCTAGTACATAAGGCCATCCTGACAAGATTGGAAGATGTAGCAGATCTGTCTAATACATAGAAGCAAATACAGAGGAGACAAAGAAATGTCCTAAATAAAAGAACAGGACAAAACTCCAGAAAAAGTACTAAATGAAATGAAGGCAAGCAATCTACCTGATAGAGTTCAAAACACTGGTTGTAAGGATGCTCAAGGAACTTAGTGAGAAATTTAACAGAGACAGTAAGCAAAAAAAAAAAAGACATAAAAACCATAAAAGAACCAATCATAAATGAAGAATACAATGACTGGAATGAAGAATACACTAGAAGGAATCGATAACAGATTAGATGAAGCAGAGGATAGAATCAGCACTTTAGAAGACCACGTAGTAGATATACCCAGTTGGAACAACAAAAAGAAAAAAAGAATTAAAAATAAATGAGGAGACTTCAAAGGACCTCTGGGACATTATCAAGTACTAGTGGCTGGATGCATGAAAATTTGTGCAAGAGTAGGCCTTCTTTCCCCCGGCTGCTGGCACTGGTTTCCCTCTGGCACCCGGACCTGGGCTTTCCTTCTCCAGTTGTCAGCAGTCACCCAGGACTGGGCTGCCTCCCTCGGCTGCTGGCAGGCACCTGGGACCCGGGCTTCGCTCGGCCCGGCTTCCTCCAGAAGGATGTTTGGTTTAATTAGCATATTACCTTTTAATTATATCCTATATAATAAGAGAGAAATATGCAAATTAGGCCAGGACTCCGTAATGTCATGACCGCTTGGCAGGGGGTGGGGGGTGGGGGGAGTGAGGCCTGCGGCTGGGACGTGAGGCTGTGGTGCCTCCTCTGGAGTTGGGGAGCTAATGACCAATAGGCTCTGGTCCTCCTCCAACAGCCCTTTCCAACAGGCATGGGGTTGCTGAGACTCAGGCTGGGCCTCTGGCCACAGACCCACAGCTTCCTGGAGACCGACTCTACCAGGCCGCTGGGAGGCCATGAGGCTGGGCTGCAGGGTGCCGGTTCAAGATGTGACACAGAGAGGAGGTGCAGGAGGAAATCCAGAGAATGGGATGTGGGGGTTCAAGATTCACTTCCTTTGGGTTTTGTCCTTCTTGGTCTTGGTCCTTTTCTTTTGGGCCTGGAGCGCAAGCACTGCAGGAGAGAGGGATGGATGAAGGCCGAATGTGGAAGAAAGGAGGTGACCCAGGTGAGGGTGGAGACCTAGCAGAGGTGGGAGACCCGACTGCGGGCTGCCTGAGGGCGGCTCCCAGCCTAGCACCGCGGCTTTGGCAAAGTGATGGCCAGGAGGCGGGCGGGTGCAGAGCGAAGCTGCACCGTCCCTCTATGAGGACCCCCACACAGGTGCTGCCTTCACCATCAGGCTCTGGGTGACATTTGCAAATGCGACTGCAACCTCTAACATTCTGGGCAAAGAACTGACCCTGTGCCCCTCTGGGTACCAGGCTTGCTAGGAGTGTGCTGTCACAAATGCCACAGATCAAAGGCAAAAACCTGGTGAGGCGGGGTGCCCCGGAGGGGGCTTGGGCTGGAACAGGGGGCCAGTGGAGAGCGAGGTTCTGCAGTGGCCCCAAGACTCCGGTCGTCCTGGCGGGAAACAAGGGGCATGGAAGGACGCCTGGCAGAGGGGCATGAACCCGCAGCCCTGAGGAGGGGGTTGAGGGGCGGAGCCACCTCTGTGGAGGGGTGCTGCACTGCAGTGTACCGGACTGACTGAGTGATTCAGAGAAGCTCCCAGCGCGGTGCTAACCAGGCCTTGCCTGGCGGCCTTCGCACTTCAGAGGCGGCAACTCCTGCTCCCTCCTTGGCCCAAAGGCAAGCCTGCGCCTACCCTGCCCCATGGTGGCGCAAGCCTGTGCAGTGAGTGCAAGCCTAGCACCTGCTGCGGAGAATGGGGGCCAGTGAAGAATAGGAGCAGGGGGCGGGGGCGAGGAAAGAATGTGGAGCGTCTGCGATGAAGAGGTGCTTGAGGAGGAGGCTCAGAAGCCTGACGGGAAGGTTTGTTCTGTCCCCCCCCCCCCCCCCCTCCCCCGGCTGTCTCTTAGGAAGGGCAGAGAGCATGGCTGTGAGGGCTCCTGCACGCTGAGTCAAGTTCCGCAGCCAACTGGAATTGGCCTCAGTTTCCTGCTCTGTAAAATGAATTAAGTGTGTCCCAGTGCCTTCGCTGAGCTTTGAGGGTCAATTGAGATACTATATAAAGAAAATGAGGGAAGAAGTGAGAAAGAAAAGGAAGGATGAGCAACACAAAAGAAAGATTGGAAGGAACCTGTAAACCTATCATCACTTAAATAGGGAATATAGTCAACAGTGTTGTAATGACATTATGATGCCAGGTGGGTACTGGAAATATCGGGGAACACTTTGTAAAGTATATCATTGTCTAACCACTATTCTGTAACTAATATAAAACCTGAAACTAATACAAAATAATATTGAGTGTAAAGAAATGAAAATAGCTGTGAAATTTTTATAAATTTCAAAGTTTAAATAAAGGCTGTAAAGGAAGGAAGGGAGAGAATAAAATAGTGTTTTTCATTTTACCACTTTATTTTCTTTTCAGTACATGAAAAAGACAGTTGTCTTTATATGGTGCTTTTATACTTTTCTAAGTCATCTCATTTGATGTTCAGGGAAACTTAAAGACAAGATAATTATTCCCTTCACTATTCAAAGAAAGGAAATCTTGATGTCTGGCCCAAATGATTCAATCGTCAAGCCCTTATTGTAAAGCAGGATTAGTGAAATTTTCTGTGAAGGGTCATATCTATAATAATAAAAGCCTTGGGGGTGATCAGGCCAGCAGGGGAGGGAAGTTGGGGGCAATCAGGCAGACAGGGGAGCAGTTAGGTGTCAATCAGGCTGGCAGGGAAGTGGTTAGGAGGTGATCAGGTTGGCAGGCAGAAGTGGTTAGGGGCAATCAGGCAGGCAGGCAGGCGAGCGGTTAGGAGCCAGCAGTCCTGGATTGTGAGAGGGATGTCCAACCGCAGGGATCGGGCCTAAACTGGCAGTTGGACATCCACCGAGGGGTCCCAGATTAGAGAGGGTGCAGACCAGACTGAGGGGTACCGCCCATGCACGAATTTTGTGCACCAGGCCACTAGTTATAGATAATAATAGTAGAGGCCCAGTGCACGGAATCATGCACTGGTGGGGTCCTCAGCCTTGCCTGCACCCTCTCGCAATCCGGGACCCCTCGGGTGATGTCAGACTGCTGGTTTGGGCCTGATCCCTGCAGGCCAGGTCAAGGGACCCCACCGGTGCATGAATCCAGTGGTGATGATGGATTCATCAGCACCGGTGATGAATCCATGCACCGGGCCTCTAGTATGCATATAAGATCTTTGGTTAATCTCTTCCTATCCTCCGCTCCCTGCTTCCCTCTAAGATTCATCAATCTGTTCCATATTTTCATGCCTGTGCATTGAGCATCTGCCCCCTGGTGGTCATTGTGTGTCATAGCTACCAGCTGGTCAGCTGGTTAGCTGGTCACTTAGGCTTTTATATATATAGATATGCATCATAAGAGAGACCAGAAGGAGAAGAGAGAGAAAGGAATTGAGAACCTATTTGAAGAAATGATTGAAAACTTCCCTAGCCTGGAGAAGGGAATAGACATACAGGCCAGGAAGTGCAGAGAGTCCCAAACAAGATGACCCAAAGAGGCCCACACTGCCCTATCCGGTTTGGCTCAGTGGATAGAGCATCAGCCTGCGGACTGAAGGGTCCCAGGTTCAATTCCAGCCAAGGGTACATGCCCAGGTTGTGGGCTCGATCTGCAGTAGAGGGTGTGCAGGAGTCAACCGATCAATGATTCTTTCTTGTCATTGATGTTTCTATCTCTCTCTCTCCCTTCCTCTCTGAAATCCATAAAAATATATTAAAAAAATAAACCCCCATACTGTTTGCAATTTTAAAAAATCTTAAAAAAAGAGGCCCACACCAAGACACATCATAATTAAAATGTCAAAGTTTAAAGACAGACAGAATCTTAAAAGTAGCAAGAAGAAAGCAATTAGTTACCTAAAAGGCATCTCCCATCAGACTGTCAGCTGATTTCTCAACAGAAACTTTGCAGGTCTGAAGAAATTGGCACAAAATACTCAAAATGATGAAAAACAAGGACCTATAACCAAGATTACTTTACCCAGAAAAGCTATCATTTAGAATTAAATAACACATAAAGAGCTTCCCAGACAAGAAAAGCTGAAGGAGTCTATCACCACCAAACCAGAATTATAAGAAATGTTAAGGGGGCATTTTTAAGATGAAAAAAAAGAAAAACTATTAAAAATATGAATAATAAAATGGTAATAACTATATATCTGTCAACAATCATTTTAAATGTAAAAGGATTAAATGCTATAATTAAAAGATGTAGGGTAGTTGAATGGATAAGAAAACAAGGCCTATACATAAGCTGCCTACAAGAGACCCATTTCAAAGCAAAGAACTTACACAGAGCCTCTACTCCTGCCTCCACTGGTGGCCAGTGGAGCCAACTCAGCATGGCTGCATAACCAAGCCCTCCTCTGGGGATTTGCTGCAGGCCCGTGCCACCATGAAACACCTTAACAAAGCTCTGCTAAAGGCACTGCAGCAGCGCAATATTGAAAATGAGGGTTCATTATCATCTAACCTGAACACACCCTTTTCTTCCCACTGCTTTAATTATCACTATACCTATTGGGTTATATTTTACCATAAATCTTATATTTTTGAAGATGCCTTTGAAATTTGCAATAGGGACAGCTATTTTTATACTGCAGTTGTTATAGTGGTCACCATTCACTTGGTGCTGTTTCCCTTTGTCTACCGTATGTGACCTGGAATAAAGACTCAGGATAGTAGTGTGAAAATGAAGAGGATTAGAGTGAACACCACTTTTGATAACATTAAATTTTTTT